GGGTATACATTTAATTGCTAATTTTAAGCGTTTTGGCAGTGGATTCATTTTAACTTGCTTGGTCCCCTATTGAAGACAATTATCTGTCCTCAGCTAGGATTAATGTCTGGAAGGCCTTGCCTATAATCATTAAAGTCCTTATGGAACCAGACGAATGAATGGGGTGGTATCTGCTAGCTGGAGGAAATTAATTTGTTGTGGTTTTTCTTCTTCTTCTGTTTTTTTGCAGTAAGGAAGTTGTGCATAATACAGAGACAGCACTGTTCTGCCTTTTGTTTGTGTCTGAATCAGAGGATAAATAAAAAGTTATGTGTGAAGCGACCTCATACGCTGCTAGAGAGGTTTTTCTACAGGCATGCCTTTGCGTGACAGAGGTACAAAGACTCAGAGAGAGAGAGGGAGGGGGGCTTTCCTCTCCCATCTCCAGCTCCAGTGTTATTCATGTGAAAGTCTCCGTGGTGGGTGAGGGGAGCTGTTTGTCGAGGCTTCTGCATCTGATCATCACCACCTCCGTCCTTCAAAGTCAATTTCATTTTAGAATACAAATAGCTCGATGCTTTTTTTCCTGCTGTGTGTGTGTGTGTGTGTGTGTGTGTGTGTGTATATATGTGTGTGTGGCAGCCTCCACAGTGTGATATATGCGTGGGTTGGTGGTGGACACTTTCTAATATGCATGCTGCATGATGAGTCAGCTCATTGTTTCTACTAAAAATCCAAACTCCTAGACACACCGGAGCAGACACTCACACACACCAGGAAAAGGTGACCATTGTGTTTAATAAGACGTGGGTGGGTGAGATTTGCAAGATGAGAATCAGGCACAAAAGGGGAACAGGAAGAAAGAGATCGAAAAAGGCGAGTAAAATAACCTATTTAAGACACACAAAGGTGAAACGATAAGAAGAGTGGGCTCCAAGGGCATAAGAGGAAGGGGGAAGGCAGGGAGGTTGGGAAGAGGGCCGCATTTAATCTAGTTTGTGATATTCTGCTCACCCCTGCACTTCATACGTACTATCTTTCACATTGCTCTGCAGCCAAAGGCAAAACGAGCTGGAGAATACAACAGTTTTGAACCTGTCGGTGGGGGTGACACCTGAGCTCATTTAATTGGACTTAAGTGACCAGAAAAAAATCAGATGTGTAATATTGAGTTAGGAGATTGTGGGGGGAAAGAGAAATGGCCAGGTAGTGAGAATTCATGCATGTGAATAGGCCTGCAGCTTATATTTTCATTAAGTGCTGATCTGATCCGATTACTCAGATATGCCAATTAAACTTTCCAGAGCCAAAGTTGGGTTTTCACATCTTTTATTTTCTTTCTTTTTTTAGTCTCATGCTCAAATCAGAAGTTGTTCACCAAAGAAACGCTGTTTTCCTTTACTCATACTGCACACGGAGGCTTAAACAGGTTTTCGGTTGTGTTACACAAGCGTATTGTCAACCTATTCTCAAATGTATTGTTCAGAGTAAATACACTGTGCAAAAAAAGGAATGGCCTGTGAAACTGCCAGTGGCACTGCTTAATCAGCAAGACTAGTGCTTGTTGCTGAATTGAAGCATTTAAAGCTGAACCAGATAAAATTCACAGCACATCATATCGCTCAAATA